AAAGTCTGAACAACCAACATCAAAGTTGTGTAATAGGCTGGTGATCACTTTGAATGAATATATTCCTTCAATGATATTCCCAGTATTCATTCTGACATTTCAGTAATGTTCAGCATGTATAATATAGAGAAGAGGTATATTGCATACTCTGAGAGATCCAGCCATAAAATGGACTTTACAAAAATATATTTAAATTATTCATTTATTTTTTAATAGTGTCTATCATAGTATAAAATCCAGGTAGTTTTGTTTTTAGTAATAACAGTTGAAAGTAAGCCTCCCTTGCTCTGTTGTCTCAAGTAGATAATTCTCTCAAGAGAGGTAACCACTGCCATCACTGGTTTCTTGTATATGCTTCCTGAGATAGTGTATACTTTCACAAGCATAGATGCAAATAGTCTTCTTTTTTAATAAAATAAATTCATACTTTTTGCACCTTCCTGTTTTCACTTAATATATTTTAGATATATATATAGAGCTGCTCCACTCTTTTTTAGCAGGTACATAGTAATTCATTCCATGATATAGCATAAATACCTTACCATTCCTCTGCTGATGGGTATTTAAATTGCTTATGATATTTTGTTATTGTAGACAATGTCACAGTGAATATCTTTATATTTATGTCATTTTGAATATGTGCACGTGTAATAACTCCTAGAACTAGAATTATTGAATCAAAGAATATTTGAATTTTTTTGTTTTGAAAGATTTTGAGGGATTGCTCTTCCCAGAAGCTGTATCAGTTATGTCCCAACAATAATTATGTGATTGTTTCTTAGTCCTCATATCTCAGCATGTTCTCAAGCTTTCCAGTTGGTGAAAATAGTAATTTATTGTTTTTTAATTTGCATTTCTATCATAAGTGAGGTTGAAAATTTTGCATTTATTTTCTGTGAACTGTTTTTTCCCATTTTTCCACTGGGATATTGATCTTTTTCCTTATTGATTTCTAGGAGCCCTTTAAACATTAAAGAAGTTACTGATTTGTCTGAAATACATGTTGCAGATATTTTTTCCCGAAACTGTCTTTTGATTTTGTAATGGTGTGCTTTTCTTTTGGTGGGTGTAAGCAGACTTCTGCTTTCAGTTTTGTTATTTTTATGCAGCCAAATGTATCACTCTTTTCTTTTATGTCTTTTGGGTTTGGGGTTATATTTTAAAAGACTTTTCTACTCTAAGATCATCTTTAAAAATTCATTTTTTCTTTTTTAATTTGGTTTTTATTTGTAAACCTTGACTCATTTAAAACTTAGTTTGGTATATAGATCCAACCTTATTAAATAGGACTACAAAATGAACTGATTGATAATAGACCTAGCTGGTTTAGCTACATGAGACTCGGTTGGTTAGCTACATGAGAATCATCTCTAACTCTCCATAGGCTTATACTTAATTTCCCTAGCACCTGGTATGGTACTCAAAAGAAGTGAGTAGTTAATAAACTTTTGATAAACTAAACTGAAAGGAAGTTTCTAGATATATCACCTTAGTTATTTATAGTTGTTTTGGTTGAAAGAGAGTGATACCACCAACACAGCTGATTTCTTAGAATCATGAAATTTTGGATCCAGAGACTAAGATGATTATTCACTTGACAAATAAATAATGAGTTCCTATTACTTACAGGCATTCTAGTTGGGAATGAGGAGACAATAAACAAATATGTCATGTGGTATAATGCTGTGAATCAAAACAGAGCAATGTACAGGCAGTAGAGAATGACAGGAAGTAGAGCAGGGGGTGCACACTAGCACAGGTCACAAAGGACATTTACAGTAGAATTGTCTTTACTTCATATGAGCACATGTGCAGACAAAAAAATTGAGAAGTCATGAGAATTAAGCTTCAGGAGACAGTTCTTAGTATCCCTGGGAAGTTGAAAGGAGAATCAGCTGTTTCTGTCTAGGTCCAGGTTCTCTTTAGATTACATTGTAAACTAGTGGGCAGGACTATACTTTTTAGGTTATATTTGTTATAAATATTATGCACATTTGGATTAACATAATTGTTCTTTAAGCAAATTAACAAATTTGTCATTCTAATAGGAAACTAAAACCATTTTATGCAATTAAAGCCAAAATTACATTCTACCCTTGGGCATGTCAGCATGGCACTCCTCCATGCTGATGGAAGTCTGGTCAATATTTCTTACAGTAATTTTAAACACTACTCAAAAAAATCAGGGAAAAGGGCCCGTAGAAAGTCTTAAGGTATCACTACCTTATACTCTCAACCAGAGTAGCTGTGCTTTTATATTTAATTTCTTCTTAACTTTCAGTTAGGATTACATTTTGAATTAATTTGAAGCTATAAAATACACCTCACTCTGACCACATGTGTACATGGAAATGACAGGCCATTTTTAGGATCCAATCACTGGATGTGCTTTAATTCCATGTGGACGTAGAGATGATTGCCTTGAAGGGCCAGAAGTTGGAAATTCCCTAGTGGAAACCCTACTGATTAAGATAGGGATCCTTTTAATGTGTACAGTATTTTTGTAGATATGGTGGTTCTGTGGAGAATGAGTGAATCTGTCAAAACTTCCTAGTTGCTAAATTATATTTTGCCAGGATTGTCAAGCTCCAAGTTAGGAGAATAGCGTTTTCTCTGAGCATATTGGTATAAGAATCAGATTTAATCAGCTTTTCTAACATCTTGATTTATTCTTATTTCTTCCTGTATGCTTCAAGATGATACTTACTAGTACCAAAATTTGGGATAGAAGTTTAACCATTTATGTATGAAGAATGTGCTTTGATATTTCAACTAAAGAAAATCAGTTTATAGCAGCAATGGCCACAGTTGCCAAACTGTGGAAAGAACCAAGATGCCCTTCTACGGACGAATGGATAGGGAAGATGTGGTCCATATACACTATGGAGTATTATGCCTCTATCAGAAAGGATGAATACCCAACTTTTGTAGCAACATGGATGGGACTGGAAGAGATTATGCTGAGTGAAATAAGTCAAGCAGAGAGAGTCAATTATCATATGGTTTCACTTATTTGCGGAGCATAACAAATAACACAGAGGACATGGGGAGATGGAGAGGAGAAGGGAGTTGAGGGAAATTGGAAGAGGAGGTGAACCATGAGAGACTATGGACTCTGAAAAACAACCTGAGGGTTTTGAAGGGGCGGGGGGGTGAGAGGTTGGGGGACCCAGGTGGGTGGTGGGTATTAAGGAGGGCACGTATTGCATGGAGCACTGGGTGTGGTGCAAAAACAATGAATACTGTTACTCTGAAAAGAAATTTAAAAAAAAATGTTGGTTAAAAAAAAATCAGTTTATTATTGAGGTTTTTATTCCATATAAATCAGTACTAAATTCTACAAAAATCAGAATCAATTTATACAATCCTATCACTCACTGAGCTTACTTTAATAATGAAGAATATAAATTACTAAACATATCCTCTTCTCAAATACTATTAGTTGCAAATGGGTTGTAATACCAGAATTATTTTAAAATTTTTGAGGTTATCAATTAAAATTTGTTAACATGTAGTAAAAATTAGGAAGAGCTATATACTTTAGAAAAAGGTTTTCAAAGATCTTGGATTCCTGTGTGCGACAGAGCTTATATATTTGGATCTCCCAATGATTGGTACCTAGTAGTATCTATTCATTGAAATAAATTTATCCAAAACTTAACTTATTTGCAGTAAATATAACATATGAAGCAAGGAAATGCATTCAAAGACTTCAGATAAGGGAAATTTAAGTCTGAAAATAGCATTGTTACTAATCAAGATTATCTTCTGAACAAGACATAAGGACCTCATATGATTTGGGGACTCTACCACTCTTAAAGGAGGTTTGCATCTCCTTGCAGAGTCCTGAAATGTCTTCAGCTGGGAAAACATGACTACATTGATTCAGTCTCATGGTTTGCCAACCATGTGACCTTGGACAAATCTGTTTCTTCATTTGTAATGAGGATAAAAACGGTTCCTCTGCAAGTTTGTTGTGAAATTAAGTGAGATAATGTTTAGAGAATTCCTGATACATCGTGTTTAATAAAAAATATAATTTTATTACTAGAATGCTATGGATGTCTAGTTAATCCTTAGAAAAAAAGCAAAAATGCAAATACTGCTTGTATCAAATGTATTTAGTCTATTTCAAAGTTTAAATGATAAATTCCATTCCCATTTTTTAATTGGGAGATAAAGGATTAACCAAACGTGGTCATTTAATATGTGAATTTTCAACAATTGAAGTAGCTAAGAAAATCTGTACCCTGAGACCAAGGAAGACAATATTTAACTCTATTAACTTTGAAATGGTTGGAGTACCTCCTGCCCTGCAACTCCCACCCTAAAAAGAAAGGGTTTTAGCCAAAGAAACAAGTGTTAGCAGAAGTGCTTCTGATGACTTATAGAGTTATTTTTTTAATCAGATCGAATTTTATTAGAAAGATCTTGATTCCCAAGGGATCCAATAATTCAGACACGTGCACATTTTAGAATAAAAGACAAATGATGACATAGAAACTCGTAATGCTTATAGTTATTAAGTATATGAACAGTGTCGTCGGTGGACTTAATTGCAGTTTTTAAAGACAAAGCATGAGAGATTGTGAACTGAGAAACAAACAGGGTTTTGGAGGGAAAAAGGGTGGGCAGTTGGGTGAGCCTGGTGGTGGGTATTAAGGAGGGCACATATTGCATGGGGCACTGAGTGTGATGCATAAATAATGAATCTTGGAACATTGAAAAAATAAATGATTTTGATATACTCTTTACAAGGTAACTTGAGCTGGATCTAGACTTAGTTCTAAAGCTTTTAGGATCCAAAAACCTATTTTACAACAGAATTCCTGTCCATGGTTTGCCATAACACAAATGGCCTTTTGACTCTCAGAGCTATGTTCTTGTCACTCTGCTGCCTTCCTGCCTGCTATTTGGCATTGCTATTGGCATTTTCATTTCCAACTAAAGGAAACATTTGTAAATTGTTAAAGAGTTTGTTTTAATTTTTTTTCCTTTAGAGTCTTCAGATGGATTTTAAAATTCAGTACACTTGGGATGGTTTTCCCGTGAAGCATGAGCCAGTGTTTGTCAGGCTGAATCCAGGTGATGGAGGAGTGATGATGGAAGTTAGTGCTCCCTTTTTCAATGATCCTCCAGCCCCACTTGGAGAACCAGGAAAACCTTACAATGAACTGTGGAATTATGAAGGTAAGTGGAAGTACTGTATTTTACTGCAAACATAAATCTCTTTATATTAACCTCTCCTAGAACTATTATTTTATCTTACTGTAAGGAAGTGAGTGCTCTTACGAGCAGCTGACATGTGCAGTTTCTTCCGTTCTCTACCAATCTCTCATTCTTTTTCACCATCACTTATGTGACTTAAGCTATGTAACTAGAACAGTGAAAAATGGCAATTACAAATCCAGATTTTTAAATTGCTGCCATATTTCTTTCATTTACTTCTGATACCTATTTTAAGGAGAGTTCAGCATTTCTGTCTTGTCTTTAAGTATCTTCGAATTGCTACTTTAACCTTATAAACCTTCTCTGTGGAAGTTTGGGGATGTTTTACTTATTATAGAAATACTGTCAGCCTTAATATGAAATGTAGTTTGTATTTTATACTGGCAATTAATCTCACATGTCAAATGAAGGCTAAAGGACATGCCATAAAATTACACTGTGCCAGATTTGCTCTATGATCCCCTTCTAATGTATCATAATTAAGCTACCAAACTTATCTTTCTGAAATACTCTTTATGATTCCACTCCTCAGATCGCAAACCATAACTATCCCTGAGATAAAATTCAAACCCTTCCTTTAAGCTTTCAGAATACTCATAAATTGGGCTATCCTATTCAATCAAAAGCTCTTTTTTAATATAACAATGTTATATTAGTTTCAGGTTTACAAAGTAGTGATTTGACAAGTCTTTACATTATGCTATGCTCACCACAAGTGTAGCTACCATCAGTCTCCATAGCACTGTTACAGTACCACTGTCTATATTCCCTATGCTGTGACTTTTATCCCTGTGACTTATTCATTCTTTGACTGGAAGACTGTATCTCCCACTCTCCTTCATCCGTGTTGCCCATCCCCTTACCCTCTGTACCCCTCACTCTCCCCACCCCTGGCAGCCCTCAGTTTGTTCTCTGTATTTATGGGTTTATTTCTACCTTATGTTTACTCATTTGTTTTGTTTTCTAGATTCAATATGTAAGTGGAATCATATGTCAACCAAAAACTTGACTTCTGAAAGGCTAATGGTCTTACTATCCAAGCATATTCTCACCCATGTACCTTTTCTCATTCTATTCCCCATCCCCTGCCTCTCATGCACTTAGTTCAAGGTCTAATATAGGTTTCATTTCTTTAAAGAAACCTTTGATGGTTCCTGTAGACCATACTAACATCTGTATAGCATGTATTTGTCAGTGTTAATTTTTATCATATGTAAAACATGTTATGTTTTACTGATACAGAACTTGTATATACCAGCTACCTGCTGGTATAGACACTAATGTGACTTATCTACTAGAGGTACCACAGACACCAAACTCAAGAAGTCCTAAACTCAACTCATCCAGTTCTTTCATAAACCTGCTTATTTCCCCAGTTGCCCAAACACTACAATACCTCAGTTTACTACATATAGAAATATGAGAGCTTTCCAAGATAACCTTTTCTCTCACTCTCCATATTTGGATTTATTTATGAGTCTTACCAGCTTCGCCTCCTTAACGTTTCTCTGATTTAGTTAGTACCTTTTCTTCATTCACACTCTCCGTACCATAGGTTAGGCCTTTGTGATCTTTTACTTGGGCTAGTCAAAGCACCCTTTATAGTCTTTTTACCCTTAGATCCATCCTTCAGTTAGAAGCCAGAGTGATCGATCTAAAATGAAAATTCAAACTCATAATTCAGGTCCTTGCAAACCTTCTCAGGCTCCCTGTCCTCTCAGGATAGTTTCACCCTTCTTATTATGATCTTTCTATAAGATTTTTCATGATCTAGCACCTTATTCTCTTTGCAGCATTCCTTCTCTATGCATTGAAATGTTTGCCTAGGAAGACTGAACTGCTTGTAGTTCTTTAAGGGATGATATTTCCTAATCATGTACATTTGATTGCACTTTTCTTTCACCCTGGAATGTCCTTTCCATCATTCTTCTTCCAATTTCAACTTATCTTTCTAGGTGGAGCTTAGATAGCACCCTCTCCAGGAATCCTTCCCTAAACCACTTTTTTGAGCCAAGTGTCTGGTATTTTTTGGTGTGTGTGTGTAGCAGCAATCCATACCTCTTTCCCTCTTGGTATTTTTATGAAGAGTATCCACTTGGTGGGCACCTCAGTGGCTCAGTGGGTTAAATGTCTGCTTTTGGGTCAGGTCATGATCCCAGGGTCCTGGAATTGAGTCCTGCATTGGGCTCCCTGCTCTGCGGGGAGTCTGCTTCTCCCTCTCCCCCTGCCCCACTCCTGCTTTCTCTTGCTATCTCTCTCTCTCTCAAATAAAAAAATAAAATCTTAAAAAAATATATTCAACTGTATATTTGATTGTAATGACTGCATTATATTCTATTTCCTGGAATATATGAATTCCATAATTTATTTAACAGCTCTCCTGTGTAATAGTTTTATTTATTCATAGGAAATAACCATGTAGATCATTCTCTATTTTTGAGCAATACTTAGATGAATAGCATTATACTTACTTTTCCCAGTTCTCTAATTATTTCTTAAGATTAAATCCTAGAAGAAGATAACTGGTTCAAAGTCTGTAATAACATTCGTTTCTTTAAGAACCTCACCCAACACTAGGCTTTATTAATATTTGTAATCTTAGGACAATCTGATATGGGAAAAATTGGTGATTTATTTTCTATGTATTTCTTCTTCCAGGCAATGTGTATTTATTTGCTTTTCCCCTTTTCTTACAAGATAGAATTATAGTTAAAAATAATGAGTTAATTCATTTTATACTCTAAAAAAATAATTTATTACTTAAGTAAAATTAAATTTCTTGGTATGTCTTCTCTCTGTTTTCAAAAGTTGTGGAAACATTTTTCTTGAATGACATAACTGAACAGTATTTAGAAGTTGAACTTTGTCCGTAAGTATAAAATTTTTTTCTAACACACAGCTACATAATTTGAATATAGTTAATTTCTAGTTATAAATTATATGGTTTATGGTAAAAGCTCAACCAAAAGGAAGAATGCTAATCTGAATTATATATACTTCTTTATTCTCAAGTAAAACATATTTTATAAATGCTTGAAAATATTACATTGATATTGTTTTCAATTCACTAATGTGGTTGGTTTTCTAATAAATTGAAAGTCTTTTTGTAAAATAAAAAATCATTATAAATAACAGAAACTGTCTCTCATTACTTATTATGAAATTTACATCATTATGAATTACCTATTCAGAAATAAAGGGAGATATAAATACAATGAATTGAACTAGTTTCTTTTAGGGAATTTTTTTAAATAACTAGATTAAACTTAAATTTTATGTGTTGCATAATTATATAATTATGTATTCTTTCCTTTATTCATCATTCATTTATTGAGTGTATACTACATCACTTTGTCTTCAGTGCCAGGGATAAAAATTAAATGACACATAGTTTTTTTAGACTTATTACAAATATTAATCTTGGACTCTTTTGTTCAAATTTAACCAGTCATTTGGGAACCTGTTTACTTTATTTACTTTACTCTTTTCCCTGCATATGTGAAAAAGTAAATTTATGCCTACCTGTTATCTACATGATAACAAATTCTAAATTAGTAAAATATTTAGTAATGAAATATTTCTTTGTGTTGCCACTTTTCATTTTAAATGACCTTTAAATACCTCTCAGTATCTAATATTCGGTAGCCTCTGTCCCTTTGTAGGGTGGGCAGAGTCCCAAACAGTTGATTTAAATATTTTAGGTATCATTTTCTTTTCCCTTAGTTTGACTTTTGCTAATTCTAATGTGGAAAGCATAGCTGTTCACAATTATATTTTTGAGAATAATCATATATCTTTGTCACCTTTTAACTAACATGCCAGAATCTTTTATTGAAAAATATGACTTAACTGTCTTGTGAGGTAAGAAAACTTCAACTGCTGTGTGATTATTTTCATCAAACAGGTAAAAAATCTAAGGCAAATAGGTTTATTACTTGTCTAGAAAGTGGTTAAGAACTTGGATATGTTAGAATTCTAGTTTTATCCTTAGTTTTAATTTCATTAGATGATAATATCAGTTTATTTTCACAAAGTGAAAATGGATGAATAGGATAATTAGATTCTCTTTTGTTTTAAAATTATGTGATAAACATGTATAAAATTAATAATTTAAAAATATATTTTCAAGTTACATTATTAGTAAGTTTAAAAATCTGTAGAGTAATGTAGTTTCATATATTATGGGACAGTTATTAATCCATTATTATGGTTTTGCTTCTGACAATGAACAACTGTGACAGTTAATTAACCTCTGGGAAAGCAACATGAAGAATATTGTTGTTTTGATTTGCAAGGACTTTTATCTCTCCTAGGATATTCTTAAAGTTGCATAATAATAATAAAAATAAGCAGAGAACTTTTAAATGAAAAATGATACTTGTCTTCTGTTAGAATAGTTTACTGAAGGGAAGTCCTCCCTGAAAAGATCACAACAGAGCATCTGGAGTAGAAATGTTCAGTCTTTTCCACTGACAGTAAATTTCCTTCATATAATTACTTAAAATCCTTTGATTCTAACTGACCTGATTAATCCCAATTATGCTCTCTTAATAGAATTTCACATGAGGTTATATTTTGTTTATCTTGAAAATGTGTCACCAGTGTCTGAAACTAATGGTAAAAAGCAGGAAAATACAAGAGGCAGGCAGGTTGAGGACAGTTGTGCAAGAGAATAGATACAAATTAAAATCTTCAACTTGTTGACTTGTAGTAGACAATCTATGTTTTTATTTTCTATCTTCCTAATGAGCTTCAGATAGTTTTTTTGTTTGTTTGTTTGTTTGTTTTCATGGAAGTAACCTTTAGTAAAGTTATTGGATTCAGACTTTGAAATTGGTGCCAGCTTCTCCTAGGGTACTTTAGTTTCTGAAATGGGCTTTATTATGAGTACCAGATACTATGGTACCCCCCACCCCTTTTTCATATTTTGTACCATCTAATCAGTTGAAGTATTCTTTTATATAAATTCTTATTTACAGAATATAAAAAACAGTCTGGACATGTGTAGCTTTATGCATTTCACTGCAGTTGTCTGAAAAATGATAAACTCAAAGATGGTATTTCTAAGTAACTGAGCACACTGGTCCTCCCTTTAATTATCCAGTATTCATACTGCATCTTTTAATTATTTGGAAACTGAGTTACAAGCACATATTGCAGATATGAAGGAAAGTAAAGAAGGTAACATTTGTTTCTTTCAAACACTCATGACAAATTTTAATTTTGACAGTCATGGACAACATTTGGTGCTCTTACTCTCTGGAAGAAGAAATGTCTGGAAAGTAAGTAAATAAAAATATTAGAAAAAATCCTTAAATGTAATCTTTAAGATACATATGTTATATGTAAAAGATATATAAGATATATATCTTAAATAGAATGTTTAAAGTATAAATCTGAATTTACCTTATGTGTTTCACATGTTGTTTCTGTAGCAAGAACTTGCTCTGTCATACAAAGTGTCTAGAGGAGAGACAAAATGGGAAGGCAGAGCTTATCTTCCTTGGAGTTATTTTCCACCAAATGTGACAAAATTCAATTCATTTGCAATTCATGGATCAACAGATAAAAGAAACTACGAAGCTCTTTACCCAATACCTCAACGTGAACTGCAACAAGGACAAAAACCTGATTTGTAAGTAGAAATTAAATGAAGATAGGTTCCAACTCTGAGTTTTTGGTAAACTAATTATGGGTAGAACAGTAGTAACATTTTTCACTCCAAGAAAACATATGTGTTCAAATATCTAGTAGAGTCATATGTTCCCTCATAGTCCTCAGTAAATACTTGACAGACTGACTTTGGACAGACATAGTCTCTCTTACTGCTGTCAGTAGAGCACTTATATTTCCATAGTGGTATGAGAAAAGTCTTGCTTAGTGAGTATTGCAACAGCAAGTATCAAAATATTGTTGCAAATTCATTTATGATTCCTTTCAGAGCTAAATGGCCAGAGACATCTGTGTTCTGGTATGAGTAAAAGGTTAAGAAAGCCTTTCTTGCTGTTTGAGAATGTGACCTTCAGTTAACTTTCTAGCTTACTTCCTCTGGTAACCTCATAAAGATAAAAATGTCAACTGTATTTCTAGGCAATTTTGCTTGTCATAATAATGGCCCTTAATTGGTAAATTGGTTCTGATCTGAGAGGAATTATGAATAAACTCTGAATACCTGATAGGGGCAGCATGTCTTTGGGATTTCCCTTTAGAAGTCTTGTTTCCCATGGGGATGCTAGAAACTTTAATAGTGGAGTTGTTATCATAAGAGATATGGCTTCTGTGGCACAGCAGGCATGTAAGCTAAGGTATCTCCTATACTTCCTCAGTTTGAGTCTTAGCTCTTTGCACCTGAAGCTGTCACTTAAGGAGAATGTAGCTCCTGGCCAGCTTTCTAAGTGCTTCGTGGACTGCTGTAAACACAGTAAAGGCAAATGCTGTCCTGGGGAAAGCTGAGATTCCTGCTCTGTATCTCTCTGGGTGTGCTTGGTGGCCAGTCTGGTGAGTTTGCCTGTTTACAAGAGCCTAACAGAGATATCCTGGTGAGCTTTGCACCATGGTAGACTGACTTTCCTGCCTTTTTACCTTTAGAAAGTGCTATACTGTCCTTCTCCCTGTTAGCTTTCTCCTTCCTGTCATGCTCTTACTTCACTCACTTTGCCTTTATCTTTTCTAGTCTATTCCTTTATTCTGCCTGAAACACATTTCCCTTTGCTTTTGTCCCCGTCCTAACCCTTTTTCTTACCCTTCCCTTATTGCTTTTCTCTTCTTGCTACCTCTTATCCATCTCTGTTGTTTCCCTAACCTCTTTTATTGTTTTAATTTTTAAAAAATTGAAGTATAGTTGATACACAATGTTACACTAGTTTCAGGTGTACAAAATAACGATTCAACAAATCTATATACTACGCTATGTTCACAACTGTAGCTACCATCAGTCTCTGTACAATGAATGCTGTTATAATACCATTGAGTATATTCCCTAGGCTGTACTTTTTATCCCTGTGACTTATTCATTTCATAACTGGAGGTTTCCTTAACTTCTTAATTCTGGATTGATAGTGTGACTCTAAACCAGGTTCAGCCTGGTTCAGCCTAGTCAGGGGAGCAGAATGGACAGGAATCCAGATGCAACTTACTCAGGATCCTCAAAACAAGATGGCTTGTTTCTCTGGTTCTTCACCAGCTAATGCCTTCCTGTATTCAGGCTTCTCATTTATAAGTTATTGGAGACTTACCCTAGATGAAAGTATGAGTATACCATTGTTCCAGGTAGAGTCAAGGTAGAGTCTGCTGTGCAGAATGATTTCCTGCACAGCTGAGACCCACTGTAACATTTAGTTAAGCCTTTGTCTCTTCATTAAGCCACAATACTTAAATGGTTTTCCTAGAAAGAAAATAAGTAGGATTAAATCCTTTTTACATTTACCTCTCTTGCTTTGGCAAAGAGTCTATCCTTTAAGTTACAGAGCTGAAACTTTAAAACGATTTTCTATATGGCATATAAAGTGTATCAAAATCTGAATGTAAAAACATCTCTAAGAGTATAATATTTGTTTAAGGCTAGATAGAATCAGTCAGGTTTTGAGGGTTGATTTTTAATTCTTCCCTCAGCTATGAGGGAGCTTTTCTAGAATTAAGAGGAGAGTGTTTTGAAATGTGGGTGAATTTCAGAGCTGAATGTTTGATGGCAAGAGTGAGAAAGTTTTACACATAGAATTCCTCTTACCTTTGGTATTTTTATAATGTTGTTCTGTCACAAATGTGACAAATAAATAGCCCTTCAGGATAACTATTTTGCAAATGCATAATTCATTTCAGTTCCCACTTTCTTTTTCTTTGTGTTTAGTCATCGTCTGGAATACTTCAAGCCTTTCAGTTTTAATACACTGTTTGGAGAAGAATGGAAACAACCAGAATCAGAGCTGTGGTTAATAGAGAAACCTGATGTATAGGAGTATAGTAGATGACCATATCAATCATTTCTTCTCTGTATCTTTTAAGGTAAACCAACAATATATATAATTTTTTTAATCATGATACCACCAGTACACTTCAAGAACAACTATTTTCATAGAGATCAGTGAAAATAGAGTATCTTTGTAGCAAATTGTATATGAATTAACAAGAAAATAGAAAGTTTGTAGATGACTTTATCTAGAAAGTGAAAATGTTTCTCAGAGTCATTCAGTCTAGGAGCCATCATGTTCTATCTGCTTTGCATTTCCATCACCCCAGATATCCCTGACTCTATCAACCAACACCGTTATTTCTCTTCCTACCTCCCTAAACCTCAGCCAGCCTGACACTGGAACATCTTATTTGTGCATTTTTTTAAAAGTTCTATGTAGCGTACAGTAATTCTTTACTTGGAAGCTTCTGTGCATTCTTGAAGTAGATTGAAAACAATGACTATTTCAGATAAGCAGGACATCCACATCTGTTAAGGCATCATTAAGATACATATGTATGTAACCGGCTGTTTTTCATGTCTTGAGACTATTTTTAGTCTGAAGAAGGAAATGGAATGAAGTAGTCTTAAATTTGGGCACCAGGTTCTACTTTCATTTACAAACAGATGACATTTTCTTAATGCTGTTAAACCAAATGCCAAAATATCTTCACTTTATTTTATAAACATCAAACACTCCTGGTCTAGAATTTTTCAAATTTTGTGTTGTGATATAGTTCAGTGTTTAAAGCCATCTAGTATATCATCGATGAATTTCTCCACAAAACCTGGTCCTTCACTAGGATTCTTTTTTTTTTTTTTTTTTTTTTAAGATTTTTATTTATTGACTGATTTGACAGAGAGTGAGAGAACACAAGCAGGGAGCAGAGGGAGAGGGAGAAGCAGGCTCCCCGCTGAGCAGGGAGCCCGATGTGGGACTCGATCCCAGGATCCTGGGATCGTGACCTGAGCCAAAGGCAGATGCTTAACCATCTGAGCTACCCAGGCGCCCCTTCACTAGGATTCTTAACTCAGAGATTAGCAGTCTTTCAGGAGAACTTTTTTAAAAAGAACTTTTATTACTTGTACAGAATACCTAGTTGTCTACTCAACAATATAATTTTTCCTCTTGTTTTTTACTAACAGAACCTGAATTTTTAGGGTCACTGCACAAAAACATTTTTCCAGATTCCTTTGCAGATAGAAATGATATGACAAAACAGTTCAGGTTAATGAGATGTGAGTATGCAGTGTTAGGTGGAACTTCAAGAAAAGATGTTTTAAAGATGAAAGATTCAGCTGCCATACATGTTTTACCTTTTGTCCTTTGCCCTCCCCTTACTTTTTCCAGCATTGCATAATTCAAACCTGAGGTAGCACACTAGCTATATTGTATCAATGAGGAGACAGTCCAGGTTCCCTTGAGCAGTAAGGCAAAGGGCCTGTGTTCTAAACAGTACAATAGAGTAATGTATCATATCTGGACTGCCTACCTATAGATTTCTTTACATAGGAGAAAATAAGCTGCCTAATTTGCTATTCCAAATTGATCTATAGATTCAATACAATCCCAGTTAAAAATCACAGGCAGCTTTTTGGGGAGTATAAATTGACAAACTGACTCCAATTTTATATGGAAAGGCAAGGGACCTCAAAATAGCCAAAACAATTTTGAAAAAGAACAAAGTTGGAGGACTTATACAATCTGACTTCCAAACTTATTACTAAGCTTCAATAATAAAGACGGTGTAACCTTGGCATAGATTTAGACAAATACATCAATGTAACGGAATAGAGAAACCAGAAAGAGAACTATATGCAGTTCTTTTGATTTTTGACAAAGGTGCCAATGTATTTAAAAAGGAAAATGATAATCTTTTCAACAAATGGTATTGAATAACTGTAAAAATCATGAAAACAAAAACGAAACCTTGACCTCTACTAATAGCCTATAGAAAAATTAATGTAACTGATGAAGTGAAAAAGTTCTAGGAGAAAATCTTTGTAATCAGGGTAGAGAAACATTTTTTTTTTCAAATAGGACATGGAAGGCACTAACAAAGAGAAAAAGATTAGACTTCATCAAAATCAAAACTTTCTGTTGATCAAAAGCTTCCATTAAGAAAATGAAAAAAAAAGTCACAGATTGGAATAAAGTGTTCAAAATATCCATATCGGACAAAGAATATTTATCCAGAATATATGAAGAATATAAACCAGTAATATAAGGAGAAGCCAGTTTGGGACACTTCGCAGAAAAAAATATACAAAAGGCCAATAAGTATACAGAAAGTCAACATCACTTATTTTCAAGGAAATGCAAATTAAAGCCACAACAAGATACCACTAACTGACTAAAATTACATAATATACACATTGCTTAAATGGTTAAAACTGAAAAAGATTGATAATATCAAGCAATAATGGGAATGTAGGGTACCTAGAACTTTCATACCATATGGATAGGAATGTAATATATAGTACAGCCACTTTGGAAAACTGAAAATTTCTTACACACACACCTACTCTATGTTTCAGCAGTTTCATTCTTAGATATACACTCAAGAGAAACAAAAGTTTATGGCAGTTTTATTCATGGCACAAAACTATAAACAACCAAGTTTCTATCCACAGGAGAATGGATAGACAAACTGCAATATAGTCAGACAGTGGAATACTACTTATGAAAACAAATGGACTACTGGTACATGCCATAACCTACATGAGTCTCGAAAACATCACGTTGAGCAAAATGAACCAGATACAACATTCTGTGTAATTATTTATATGAAGGCCAATAATAGGCCAAACTAGGCTGCAGTGATACATCTCAGAACAGTGATTGCTCTGGTTGAGGGCAGGGGATTCAAACTAGCTGGAAAAAGGGACGAGGGAATTTGGGGCGGTGGGTAGTTGAAATATTTTGTATCTTGATCTGGCTGACCGTTACATAGCTGTATACATTTGTGAACCTTCCCCAAGCTATATATTTAAGATTTGTGTAATTACACCTTAATAAAATATTGTTATAAAATAAGCTTTAAATTAAATGGAGTTAATTTCTGTATATTGTTCCATTGAACAATCATTAGTGCTAGCTAAATGTGGCTTATTAACTAATTTTTTTCATTTATTAAGCATGTTTTCTCTCTGAAAAGAGAGCTGATATAAGGTAAATACTGACTTACAAAACGCCGTTAAGTGTCTTCATAACTACATATCATGGTATCAGTATTAGGCATCCTAGATAAATTCAGAAAATAATTTAAAAATTGACAATAGCAACTAACTCATATGGCAATAAAATGCTGGTTTTGGATAGGAAAGTCATATTTAAAATAATCTACAGTGACTTACTAGTAAAATACCTGAAGATATTTTATAAACATATATAAAACTATCCACAAAAAGAGATATTTAGTGTGTCCTAAGTTGAAAAGTGAATCAATCATTCTGAATCACAGGTTCAGATATAAAGCAAATTGTTTATAATATGGGAAAAGTAAAGCACAAATATTTTAGATATAACCATAAAAATACTGAATTTGAATGTTGTGGTTTGTAAACTTTCTAAAACCCAGTAGAGATTCTCTTTTTATCTGTTTTGGTGTCTTTAGAACCTCTCAAGTTTTTCTCATCTAGATAAGAAATATTTTCCTTCTTCCAATACCAAGGAAGCAAAAGCACCTTATATAACCATTTTCTTCTGAAAGGAGCATGCAGTTCAACCACAGAGTTTTGGAAAATTTGTCCATTATTACCATATAAACAGTGTACCCTATAGAAAATTAGTATTTGGGAGTGGTGTTTGTAATCACTATTTCAAATTTGCTTTTCAACTTCAGGACCATGAAAGAATAATCATTCCTTTGTTCAATATATGTATAAATGCATTTCCTTGCTGTGTTCTGAATTGTTCACTACAGTATCATGCAGATCCTCTCTTCTCACCACCTAAATAGATGACACAGTGCATGCATTTATTTAGGTGTTTTCTCATGCCTCTTCAGAGCTCCAGTAGAGTGTAAGTCACAGTCCAGGGGGAAATACAGTGGTCCCCCCACCCCTTATCTGCAGTTTTGCTTTCAGAGGTTTCAGTTATCTGTTGTCAACTGTGGTCCAGAAATATTAAATGGAAAATTCCAGGAAGAAACAATTCATTAGTTTTAAATTACACACCATTTTGAGTATCCTGATAAAATCTTGCACTGTCCTGCCTAGGAAGTTCACATTGCAGCACTTCCCAAAAGGTGGTGGAAATAATTAGTACACGTGGTGAGCAGTATTGTGCACACATAAGGGGAGCACATGTGTTTCTAGGAAAGTCCGTATCTGTGGCTAGAAAGGGAAAAAGTTTATGACATGGGATGTTAAACTTGGTGCTTGACATCTTGACAAGGACACCTGAAATTTGTCTTAATATGCTGCCAAGGTAATTCTTGAAATTGGATAAAATGGTGGCTTATATACGTACATGAAGCAGAAATGCTAAAATTGCCTTGGTGGAGTATTGACGAAAGGTCAAAGGCTTGGAGAGCTGATAATGTTATGACATTAGACTATAAGTGTATAATGTTATATGAGACAAGAGAACCTACCATCTGACTGTGTTTATCTCAAGGAGAATAGAAATAAGGGAGACCATAGAGGAGAACACCATCATTCTTCAGAAACTCAGTTGTGACCTGGGTAACTATAGGTAGTCTCTGTAGCCCAGGACTGAGTAGGCAGTGTTGTCATAGAACTGGGAAGTCTAGTGTTGATGGGTATGATAAATTTCCAGAATATCAGATTCCTGTAGAGACACTAATTAACAGAAGCCATGTGAATGTAATTACTGTAATGAGCAGCGAGGCTGGAGTGGCCGTCAGAGTGCATTAACGTCATATATCCATGACTTTACCTAATAGTCCAGGGTGTACCTAAGAATGATATGGGTAGCTAGCCACCTTGACTTATAAACCAGAAAAAAAAATTGAGAGCTGTTGAGCAGTAGGCTATTTTCAGCTCTTAGACCATTTTGGTTTGTCACCCTTTTCATAGATCTAATCCAGTTTTCAAACCCAGAGCCTGTTGACTGAAAGAGAAGCTGGGTCCCTTAATAACTAGAAATGTTACCCTAAGAATAAGTGATAAATACTCCCCTAACTCACACCCAAAATAACTCTAGCCTTAAGAAAGGTAACTACTAAGATGTTTGGGATTGCTGAATACAGTAAATTTAGTGACTGAGTTGATGCTGATGATAAGGGACCTGAATTGCTATTATGGCCCTCTGTTTGAATGGGACACATGGAAACCAAGTGATCAAAGGAATCTTGGCTACGAACATCTCGTAGTAAGTCTAATAGGTCCACTCCCTTCCCCGAGATCATTCCCAGGAGCAAGAGAGGATATTGCAGTAGTTTTGGCCATGGTGCAATTGACACTGTCACCCAGTAGATCTGATAATGCTAGTTTCTGTGGTGAGTAAGGATATGGGATAGAGTCTCTGGAAAGTCCCAATAGGAGAGAGATAGTACAGACTCTTTAGGTTTCTGGAGCAAGGCCATGCCTTCTTAGCTAAGAATAATCTCAAATATTTGAATATTTGAAAAGAAGTTTCTGCCATGTCCCTGGCTTCTAGTAAAGGATGAATACCTGACCATGAAACATACAAGTGACTATGACCAGAAATATCTATTATGAGGTAGGTATTATCAAATCTACTAAGTCATAAGGTCAAGAGGGCACCACAACAGTCTGTCATATGATGGAGGTACTACTTTCAAGATCCAGTCTGATAAGGTCCAGAGGGCACAAA